CTTGCCTCCTTTGCCAGCATGTCCCTCAACTTCAATGTCTCCTCCTGCTTTTCCTTTGGGAAGAGAAATATCCATGTCTGGCATTTCAATCCTCCCTCCCTTGAAGTCTGGGCCTTTTATTTTGACATCGCCCTCTGGGAGATTAACTTTTGGCAACGAGACATCAAATTTTGGCATTTTAAATTTGCCTCCTTTTACATCAGGGCCTTCAACATTTAAGTCACCCTCAACTTTTCCTTTTGGAAGTGAAATGTCACCTTTAAGTTCAGGTCTTTGGATATCAACATCAACTCCCTTTGCTTTTATTTTAGGAAGAGAGATATCAAACGATGGCATATGAAACTTTCCTCCTTTACCACTGTGCCCATCAATGTCAATATCTCCCTTCACTTTTCCTTTTGGGAGTGAAATATCAACTGTTGGCATTTCCACATTGCCCTCTGGCAGATTCATCTTTGGAAGTGAAGCGTCAAATTTGGGCATTTTGAATTTCCCTCCTTTTACCTCAGGACCCTCAATGCTGAGGTCGGCATCAGCTTTTCCTTTAGGAAGTGAAATGTCAACAGCCGGCAAGTTAAACTTTCCCCCTTTAACTTCAGGACCCTGGAGGCTAACATCTATCTCTGGAGACTTAATTTTAGGGAGTGACATGTCACCTTTGACTTCAGGTCCTTCAATATCAACATCAACTCCCTTTGCTTTGATTTTAGGAAGAGAGATATCAAGTGAGGGCATGTGAAACTTTCCTCCTTTACCACTGTGCCCATCAATGTCAACATCTCCCTTTACCTTTCCTTTTGGAAGAGAAATATCAACACTTGGCATTTCAATTTTTCCTTTCATATCTGGTCCTTCCACACTGGCATCAACCTTCGGGAGACTGACTTTTGGCAAGGAAACATCAAATTTCGGCATTTTAAATTTCCCTCCTTTCACCTCAGGTCCTTCAACATTTATGTCACCCTCAACTTTACCTTTGGGAAGTGAAATGTCAACAGTCGGGATGTTGACTTTTCCTCCTTTTATATCAGGACCCTCAAGGCTGACATCTACATCGGGAGATTTTACTTTGGGCAGAGAAACATCAAGTGATGGCATGTTTAGCTTTCCACCTTTAACGTCAGGGCCTTCAATATTTATCTCTGGTCCCTTAGCTTTCATTTTTTAGGGAAGAGAATATCAAGGGAGGGCATTATTTGGAACTTGCTCCTTTGCCAGCATGTCCTTCAATTTCAATGTCTCCTCCTGTTTTTCCTTTGGGAAGAGAAATATCAATGTCTGGCATTTCAATCTTCCCTCCCTTGAAGTCTGGGCCTTTTATTTTCATATCGCCCTCTGGGAGATTCACTTTTGGCAATGAGACATCAAATTTTGGCATTTTAAATTTGCCTCCTTTTACATTAGGGCCTTCAACATTTAGGTCACCCTCAACTTTTCCTTTTGGAAGTGAAATGTCACCTTTGACTTCAGGTCCTTGAATATCAACATCAACTCCCTTTGCTTTCATTTTAGGAAGAGAGATATCAAACGATGGCATATGAAACTTGCCTCCTTTACCACTGTGCCCATCAATGTCAATATCCACGTCTGCTTTTCCTTTTGGAAGAGAAATATCAAGACTTGGCATTTCAATTTTTCCTTTCATATCTGGTCCTTCCACATTGGCATCAACCTTCGGGAGACTGACTTTTGGTAAGGAAACATCAAATTTCGGCATTTTGAATTTCCCTCCTTTCACCTCAGGGCCTTCAACATTTATATCACCCTCAACTTTTCCTTTGGGAAGGGAAATGTCAACAGTCGGGATGTTGACTTTTCTTCCTTTTATATCAGGACCCTCAAGGCTGACATCTACATCAGGAGATTTTACTTTGGGCAGAGAAACATCAAGTGATGGCATGTTTAGCTTTCCACCTTTAACGTCAGGGCCTTCAATATTTATCTCTGGTCCCTTAGCTTTCATTTTAGGAAGAGAGATATCAAGTGAGGGCATATGGAACTTGCCTCCTTTGCCAGCATGTCCTTCAATTTCAATTTCTCCTCCTGCTTTT